AGCTGTCCCTCTCCCCCGCCAACCGATGTTGCTCACCACTGAAGGGGTTCTTAACATCCTCGATGTGCCTCTCATAGCATGGAAATCAAAGTAACGATTGTGTTCCTCTAATCATCCAGCGTATATACCCCATGCTCAACCCTGGCTCGTGCAAATGATTTGGACAGATTCCCATCATCCAGACCAGACTTCACTGTTGTTATGCCTCCTCCTCTTCCCCTCCTCCTCCCCAAGAAGCGCCATACTATCCCGCGCCCAGCTCAACGTAGGTCCCCACCCTTCTGAAGGAAACTTTTACTACTCTTTCGGATTCTGTTGATAGACTAACTGCTCAGTTCGACTGGTGCTAACTTGCGCTCATCCCAACTCGTTCTTCAAAGCACTGCGGCCTGAACCCTAGATGTTCCAAGTAGCCGTTATACCCATCATTCTTCGGAACAGGCACTCTTCTTTAAGCAGGGTACAGCATTTGAACCTTCTTCTCCTCCCTAGACGCGCCGTCGCAGCGTCCCGCTGCTTTTGTTAGATGTCGCCACTTGTTCCACTGCATCTTCTGCCGTGGCTTTCACTTCAGTGAGGTCCTTCTTGATGACGTCCCTCCATCTTTTCTTTGGGGCTCCTCGTGGTCGCTTGCCCTTCTACTTCGAATTCCAATGCCTTCCTTCGGGTGGTCTTCTGGTCTGCCAGTACGGGCCCATACCATCGCAGCTGCTGCTCTCGTGCCTTCAGCTGGATCGGAGCCGTCTGTGTGACCGCCCTGACGTCCTCGTTTCTGACTCTGTCGAGTCGTGTCCAACCGCAGGCCCATCTCAGCATCCTCATTTCAGCTGAGTGGAGCTGCCTTTCATGGTTCTTGCAGATGGGCCAGCTCTAATCGCCGACCTTACCACTGCCCGGTACATCTTGCAGATAAGTTCTGGAGAACCACCGATTGCACAGTATGCCTGTGGACTTCCACCATTTCACCCAGGTTGCACTGATTCGAGCCTTTACCGAATGGTCCACCATCAGCTGCTACATCACTCTCCAATCACTGGAAGTCCTCAACCCCACCGATGCTTCCACCGTGGCTGTCCACGGTGGCTTCAAAACACCTCCTCGGAGCTCAGGAACTTATTCTTCTCTACCTTTCAGCCAAAGTTTCACTCTCCGAGCACATCTCCACCGCCTTCACCTCTGTCCCGAAAATTCTTCCCTGCTATCCCGCTATCAGGGCCTTCAGCTTGGGGGATGGTTTTCAGTGGCCTTTCCATGAGTCCCTTCGCAGTGACATTCAGAACGAGAAGGAGAGGAAGATAAACGGACTCAGCTGTTATGCTGAGAAATGGATGTGGATTGGTGCACGAGAAACACTAAATTTTCTTGCGACTCGAAAGATTCTTGGAGGATAGGAGCCCATCGACAGAACTCGGGCCCCCCCTTCTACGCGACAAGAACCTCCCTAAAGATGTAGAAGGACCCTAAATTTGATTTTCAACGATGCTTGTACCTACAAGGGTGCACAAGTCTTCGACTTCCAAACGAGAGACTTGACGGCCGATGGGATAACCAACGAGGCACAGCTTGGGACGGGTGAACTAGCAGTGTCCCCTTCCCACCACCTTTCTCTCATTGGCTACTACCCCCAGACGAGCTTCCTCTTACTCCGACTAATCCCAGGAATTCTTGTGTTTTCTCTTAGAAAGCTGCGACCCCCCATTGACAGGAAGGAAGTGTATGACGCGCGTGATAAGAGAGAAAAACCAAATCGGAAAATTCCCCATATAACTCCAGAATACGTCTGAGGGCCAATACAACCTCATCCCACCTGCGAGATTCTCTCAGCCATGCCCAAGCATACTATATCCAATACCACGTAAACCAGGAGTCGGGACCGAGACCATCACTGCTTCACTAATACCTACAGTCGGCGCTGTTTCCTGAGGCGGGGAGGGGGGGAGGGGGCATTTTGCACTTTAACGACTTCCCATCGACGTGTCGACCCATCTAGACAGCCTCTTCTCGAGTTGACAGGTTTTACCTATGATGGCTTGACGAGCTCCAGCCCCACAAGAGCTTACAGGTTCAACTGCAGTGAGTCTTGAAACCAGAACCAGCGAAGCAACGAAAGTGCAAAATGCCCCTCCCCGTCGGCAAACTGCGCCCCTACAGTCTTATTCGCTGCTACCTAGTGGAGTTCAAAGGGGATGGGTTTGGCGTAGCAGCAGCCCGTTTCTCTGTTTTCGGGAAGCGACAAGACTAGTATCGTCGTACTGATCAATTTTCACCAATAATTGTCGCTTACCCGTTCCATCAGCAGATTAAAAACGGGCTGGCGGCGCGCCAAACCCAGCCTCGCTGAACACAGCCCCATCGTTCGCAGCGAACGGGACTGTATTCCTGACCCATTAACCTTCCAGTGCATCTTATAAAGACTAATTTGACTGCTTCCAGGTGGACCATCATTCCTCGACGCATTCAACCTGATCTGCCCAATGCGACGCCGACGACGGAGCGCCGACTCGTCACTCGACGACAGCAGTATTCTCGAAAAGACGATGCACAAGTGCTGTGACGAAGGCTGTGAATTCTCGGACATTTTCCCTATCTGTAACCCTTTTGGTTAAAGTCTACTCCTCTAATATTCAGCGCCATGCTTCACGTTGTATGTATTCGTATGATCACTGTGGGTTATAGATCTCATAAATATTTTGTTGATAGCAAAAATCCATCAATTTAAACAACACAATAACATTTATAGCTCAAAGCATAACAAAAACAATTAGACCGTCTCTTGAATGGGAGGCTCGTAATCATCAGGACGATCAACTTTTTCTCCATCGGTACCAACAGTAATGGAATCTCCGTGCATCTCCATAAGGCGCCCAAGATCAAGTCGGGGTTTCTTTAGGATCTTCACTTTGCGGATGTACACATCTTGAAGGGGATACAATCCATGGCAGGCCTTCTCGATGTCTTTTCCGATTGAGTCAGGGATCAGCTTGGAGCACACCTCTTTCAAGTCACAACCAGAAACCTATAACATTTGAAACGTAAAATTTTGAATGGCCAGGTACTGTGAAGAAAGAGCAAGGCACACAGAGTACACTTGTACTGGAAATGGCAATTCCACGCTCCGGTTGCTTCCCAATCCCCAGAGAACCATATCTTACCCAGAAAGATTGAAAGCGTGGTCACCATTGTAGAAGGTAGATGTATGAAATACTAAGAGAAGACTAAAAGTGAGCAGGCACGCGTTCATACTTCACGCGACCCCGCTCACGGGGCACAACGCCCAACTTCCATTTCTAAAGGTATCCTGGTGGTGCGCTTGTTCAGCTAAGAACTCTCCCCTTTTCCAATGGTGGGAACGACTTATTCGACGATTAAAACCAATGTGCTATTTGGATTAACCAAGCTTTTCGAGTACCGACTGCACCTACCATAGGCTAGCTCTTTAGATAGAATGGGCGCCAACTCCCTTCAACGATCATTCAGGCGAGCAGCAAGTAAAAAAAACAATCTGAAAATACAAGCAGGAACTTTGATGCAATTGGTCCCCCGAGCAACGCGGATCCCCTTTAACTAAAACACTTCATAACTCTAATATTAACAATACTTTGCATCCGCTTATGATACCCAGTGATGGAGCTGAGCACGAGCAATTACCCACTACTTTACACTGACGCTTACCCCTCCTGAGTACGCTGATATGCTGGGAGAAATTTTGCACTATACGAAGTTTCCCCCTTCCAACCACCTGCAGCAGGAGATATTCACTATTAAAACCCCCGAGCCGAATATGACCGCACCCCCCCCCCTCCAGCGACAAAAACAGTCCTCTCTGCTGAAAATTAGGTTTTGCTGTGAGGATCCTAAAGGGGAGAAAACCTAATTCGCGAAGGAAGAACCTAAAAGGAATATGGCGCCTGAGGGTATGCCGGTGGTACAAAAAAAGTTCTAGTAACACCACCAAAAAGCATCTACTCATAGACTACAAAAACCTTCGGATGAAAAACTTTTATGACGGACTTCACTCCCACAAGATCGAGCGGAAGCCGGGTAGAAATAGAAACAAGGAGCGGATGACGAAAGCTTTCCCATCCAGAATTATTTAGAAAAATGCATGTCAATTCCTGCGTACCTGTGGCTCTTACTATCTTTTTGACGTTGAACAACGATATTTTTATAACAGAACCGTTGCCGAGTTTATGACTCTCCCTCTGAGAGAAATGAGAAAAAAAATATGAAAAAGTCGTTATAGGCTAATGCGCATGTGTCCACGACAAGAGGAACAGTATTGGCCCCTATCCTGTTTGCAGTCGGGATGACTACGGAGTGAGGAGAATCTCTTGAAGAACAGCCTCTGTCCTCTGTTCAGGTTCCCATATCCGGTGACGCCATTTCGCGCTAGCTGATAGCGCACACCGAAATGAACCAAAGAGTATCAAAGTCCCCCATCTTCCAATCCAACGCAGCAGCAAGCTCAGCTTGGCGCCGTCGATGCCGGCGGAAAAGCATCACCGGGAAAGCGGCGCACTCAGCACAAGGGAATCGTGTGGTGTTCGGAAAATGAACAACGGATTGAAATCTCACTTCTTTCTTCATCAGCTCCAGCATTCTAGCGCGAATCTTGCGAACTTTGGAAGCTTTTGTATATGTGGTCTTCTTGACTTGATTTGGTGATCGTTTCGTGAATCCAATGCAGAACAGGTGCAAAACGTATCCATCAGTAGTCTTGAAGACGCCATTGGCCTCAATGAGAGTCTGCAAAAGAACACGATCAAAAGCTAGAAGAAAGAGACATAAAATCTTGAAAGTTAACCATTGTAAGGGGCAGTTCGGCTATGGGGACATTTTGCAATTGCGCTACTTTTGTAGTTCCGGTTTACAAGTCTCACTCTGGTGAAACCTGTGAACACTTGTGAAGCTGGAGCAATCTCCTTCACCCACTACTGAGCTTTAGAAAAGTTGATAGGCTTTCACAAACGTATAACTTCGGTACCACATCGTGGCTTAACCAAATTCCACAGGTCTCCTTTTGATAGTTCGACACGTCGATAGGAAGCAGCGAAAGTGCAAAGTATCCCCCTCCCCCCCCTCATAGCCGAACTGCGCCCAAATATAATTTAGGAATGTAAACTTACGTGCCACTTCTTGACGATAGAGCACAGCTTATCACGGGTCATGGACATGGCGTGGAAATTGGTAAGGACGTTCTTTCCCTGCACATCTTCACATACAAGCTTGAACTTTCTGAAGTCAGCCTCGGAGTCGTTCAAATCGGCCAATGACACCTCGAACACACGTCCTTTCAGACCTTCGGATGCAATTTTTGTTCCTTGGGTCTTGTTGATGAGAGTCTTTCCGACTTGTCTGTTATAGAACATCGACGGCGCTTTGATATCGTACCACTCTTTTCGAGCAAATGGATCCACGGCCTTCTTCTTGCCGCCCTTTTTGCCCATCTTGTTGTTATTCTTTACCGACCGCCATGTTTAGCGGAAACCAAGCCTGAAAAATGTAAAACTTAACGCATCACTCATATGGAAGTAAACAGACGAAGATATGAAAGATGAAGACGAGCAAAAGCGAGACAGGTGTAAAAAGTGGAAGATAATGAGAAAAAGTGGTTGCGATGTGCCCAGAAATATAGGCGAATAGCTTGTATTCATCAGAATAATGGCAGGCTCGAGTTGTCATCTATTATATAAGGGTAAACCTAATGTATATAAACTCATGTGACACTGAAAAAGCTCCCAGTTCAATAAACTTCAAGCGAAATAATTATAAAATCTACAGTTCACTCAAGCGATCCTTTCCAAGTTAGTCTGTAGGCCAATTTAGTCGTCACGAGAAAGTGCGACAGTTGCGGGAATACCAAAACTAAACAACTTCAAAAATCTAGTATGGGGCTCTAGTGTGGCTCACCTTTTAAGGTAACAAGGTCGGTATCAAGCTCGTTCAAAAGTTAGTGTACTTTTTGAATCATCTTTAAGGGCATAAATAGACAAGACGATGCATCCCAGCGGGGAAAAAGCGATCGTCCCCAGACTGTCAGCAGCTTTCGCCTTGCTGTGATGCTCAAAAACGAGAAAGAAACAACCTGAGGTCAAAACCAGAAAAAGTATGAGCACTTTCACATAAACCACATTTTTGGCGCTTAGATTCAACCCAAAACAGGTTTCCAGGCACAGAGAGGCTCAGAACTGAACACACCTACTTGCACTACTACAAACAGCGCTTAAACCTCAAACGCCGAGCAACCTTAAAG